GAAAGAGAGATAGGGAGGGGAGAAGGGAGATAAAGAGGAAGGGAAGGAGGGAGGGAGGGGGGAAAGGAGGGAGGCAAGTTAAATAAAATAATTTTTTAAATGCTGGATTAGAGTTGTTTTAACCTTTTAAAAGGTATTAAGTTGCCGAAGCAACCACCCCGTATGGGGTAGACAGGAAAGCACATGGGAAGCGTGCAGTATTATTTGCTTATCGGAGCAGTAGCTGCTCACCAGTGGGCAGGGAAGCTAAACGGAGAGGTCAACGCTCACAGACTAGAAGACAACAGAGGTCTCCAATCTGTCAAGGTGGAAGAGTCCTGGGAGAGTACCCTGGCCGTTAGCAGGAATCCAGGTATACTCTAGGAAGTAGGAGGCAGACCATGCCTCAACCTCCGACCTTCAAACCACATGCTGGTGATTGGTGTCTAGACTAAGTAACTGGTATTCAAGAAGCCAGGCAGAGCTGTCAGGTGGGAGGAGAAAAAGCTTAACAATGGAGGAGGGCCACAGTGAAATTCTAAATTGTCAGGGGACCTCAGAAGGGCTAGACGCCAGGATAAGGCAAATTGGAAACAGGAAAACTCACAAAGACTAAGAATATATAGCCTTGGACCACCTCAGTCCCTAAGTAATGCGATTCACTCTAACTGCTAATCAGAAATCAAATGGAAGTCCTCTCTAGAGGAAGACAACACACACAGACTTAAATTTACCCTTCTAATTTTTATAGAGAGATTTTTGCTATAGGGTACATTCGATCACTATAGAAACAGAGACAGAAAGTGAGAAATCAGCCCCCAGGGGAGATGGCCACACTGCAATCCTTTCTCCTCCATTCGCCTCTTGGGATCTTGGACATGGACGCACAAGTTCCCGGTGTGAGTTTTAAGCCACCCAGATCCAGGACTCAAACTGTGGTCAACTACATGGGAGTCCAGGGACGTAATCATTATGCCATCTGCTGGTCCCGTAATTTCTTTTTTTTTAAGAAAGATTTTTACTATAGGGCATATGTGCTCATTAGAGAGACAGAGAAAGACAGAGAGACAGAAACAAGAAATCCACCCCCTCCAGGGAAATGGCCATGCCCCAATCCCTTCCACTCTATTCTTTTCTCAGGATCTTGGGCACATGCCTGGCATGAGTTTTAAGTCACCAGGTCCAGGACTTGAACCACGGTCGACTATGTGGAAGTCCAGCGATGTAACCATTACGCCATCTACTGGTCTGACTCTTGTAATTTTTTTTTTTTTTGAGTGGTTTTTGCCATAGGGCACATGCGCTCACCAGAAAGATGGAGAGAGACAGAAACAGAAAGTGAGAAATCACCCCCCAGGAGGGATGGCCACGCCACAATCCCTTCTCCTCCATTCTCCTCTCGGGATCCTGGACATGCATGCACACGTGCCCGGCATGAGTTTAAGTCACTGGGTCCAGGACTCGAACTGCACTCAGCTACATGGGAGTCCAGCGACATAGCTATTACGCTGCTTTTTAAAGAATTATTTTATTTAACTTTATTTCTTTTTAATTTGATTGACCAGATTGGAACAGAGTGAGAGAAAGAGAGAAGGAGAGAAAAAAAAATGAGAAAGCAAGCTGCCAGGTCTGAGACTCAAACTGTGGTTGGCCATGTGGAAGTTCAGCATCCTCGACCACCGTGCCACCTGCTACCCCTTTTACCCCTGTAATTTTAAAACACAATTTCCAACATCCAATTACCATTTAACAAACATAAAGACAAAACACCAAATTAAAAAAAAAAAAAAGAAACTGACTTGTGGAAAATCAAAGTAGCTACATTGCATACTTAGATAGCAAAGTAAATGCAGTTAATACGTGGGCTGGCCCTGTGGTATAACAGTTAAGGCAGCCAGATTCCACATGGCCAACTGTGGTTCAAATTCTGGCCCCAGTAGCTTGAAAGTCATGCCAAGTACACACGTGTGTATAGCCAAAATCCCAACAGGATCAAGAAGTCGAGGAGACTGCTGTGTGACCACACCCCCTTGGGAATGCTTTCCCTCCGTCTCTCTCTCTCTCTGGCAAGTGCGCATGCCCTCCACCACTAAGAGGAAGGAGGGAAGGACGGTAATATGTTTAGGACGATAGACTGTATAATAAAGAATTCCAGTAGAGAAAAGAAACTGTACTCCATAAAACAAAAAGTGAAAGTAAAAATAGATTTATCAACTTATTAAGCTCAGGTTAAAAAAAGGCCAAATTAACAGAAAGGTTAGTGTCAACTACACTACAGCATAGTAAGAAAAATAATGAAAATTTGATAAAATAGCAGAAATACAGAACACGATAAGAAAGTCTAACATAAGTATAACTGGAGATACTTAAAGGGAGCAGACATACAATTAGGGAAAAAGTACAATAATTAAGGAAATAATGGTCAGTGTGCTTCTAAAACTGGGAAAAAATACTAAGCCTTATGTGGACAGAGTGTAACAAACTCCAAGCAGCATCAAATAAAAAAAATCCCAATTATGCACATACTATAGTAGCAAAACTGTCCAAGAAAAATCCTTAATAGCAACCAGGCAGAAAGGGTAAACAGAAGGAGGGTGGATACCTTCTTGCCTTCAAAAGTATTCTAAAACTGATCCTAAACATATGTAAAGACAAGACAGATGGAAGAAGTCAGAATAGAATGCAATGACCTCTTCAAAAGCCTAAAAAAGTAGCAGCTAAGAAATCTATATTCAGGGGACTGCAGGTGGTGTAGTGGTTAAGGGCACTGGACTCCCACATGGTCAACCGAAGTTCAAGTCCCAGGCCCAGCAGCTTGCTTTCTCATTTCTCTCTCTGTCTCTCACTCACTCTGTCCCTCTCTGGACAAATTTAAATTAATTAATTAACTAAAGTTCAATAAAATTATTTTTTAAAAAAAGAAATCTATATTTTTAAAAAAGTACCTTTCAATAATAAAAATGAAGAGATCCAGAAGAAAACACTGTAAGAGTCTTCCTGAATGTCCCTTATTTGCCTAAAAGGGAAGGAGCTCACAAAAGAATTAAACTTCCCAGGAGAGTTGCACAGCCTGGGAAGACTGACTCCAATAAAAGAGGATGAGAAGTTAGCGCCTGGATAAGAAACTGCCTCAGCAGACACTGCCACACCACTGTGACATCTCCCAGCTATTATGTGAAGTGGCCATGTATCTTTCCTAAAAATCTTTTGTTTCTCCATGTGTGCCCCTCTTCTTCCCTTATTCTTTTTTATAAATAATTATTTATTTTATTTTATTTTTATTTATTCATTCATTTATTTTTTAATTTGACCAGAGAGAGACAGAAGGTGAGAGTGAGAGAGAGAGGAAGTGAGAAAGCAAGCCACCAGATTCAGGACTCAAAAACTGGTCAGCCATGTGGGAGTGTCCAGTACCTTAACCACCACACCACCTGCTGGTCCTTCTTGCCTTATTAATGTAGTATGTAAGCTCCAAATTACAACCAGCTCCTTGGGTCACATTTTTCTGTGAACTCCTACATACTTACATATGACTAAAAGTCTGACTTCCCTTCTGCTAATCTGTCTTTGGTCATTTAATCCACAGGTTCCCCAAAGAAAAAAAATCCAAAAGAGTAGAGGAAAGACTTTTCCTCACCAATGCAAGAAAAATAAGGATGTTTTATCACACACACACACACAAAAGCAGAATTTATCACTACCCAAACCACATTTTTCAGAGGGAAAAAAAAATGTCAAATTGATACAACTCGAGGGAAAAAACAGTAACGAAAATAATGACCATTCGGGTAAATCTAAAATAATACTGAGTATCTACAACCATTATAAGAATGACTTCTAGAATTCAAAACCACTGTAGTCTTAAAGTAAATTACAATAGTATACAAAGAAAGAAAAAAATCCACATCAATTAAAGTTATAACTTCCTCGTTTTGTCATCCTCCTATATGTCTCTGTTCTTTGAAGTATTATAAGTATTAGTTGAGAGAAGGGCAAACATGGGCCCGCAGGTGGCACAGAGCTTAAGGCCCTGGATCTCGCGTGGCCAGCTTCATGGTTAGAGTCCCGAATCCAGCTGCTTGAGAATCATGCCAGATCCCTGGGTGTGCATACCCAAAATCCCAACAGTGGAGTGAAGGAAAAGGAAATGTAGCATGGCCCTCCCCCTTCCCCCTAAAAATGACTTCTCGCTTTTCTCCTTTCTCTCTCACGCTGCCTCTCTCTAGTGAGTACATGTGCCCTGGAGCAAAAAATTGAAACAAAAAAAAAGAAAACAGAAAATCCTTAATGAAAAGGCTTCTGC